ACCAGTACAGTGGAAAAATCTAGAAGGAACGGACGTTATTAGAAAAAATACATTTCAAAACTGAATCTAAAGGAAAGAGAGGGGTCAGGGAGGGAGGGGAAGGAGGAAGAGGAAGGAAAGAAAAGGAAGAGGAGGAGGAAAGGAGAGCCGAGTATTCCCACCTTAAGACGGTGAAATGGCAGAGAGCCTCCAGGCAAATACCCAAGGACCTTCACTAGCGACTTCCATCTGGAAGCTTCCTCCTCGGAAACCATTCCCCTGATTATACAGCTAACGACACCACAGCACAGCATCCTGCTGAAGCTTCGGCTGCTGCATCCTGAACACAGGACAGAGCCTGGCGGCTAGGACCTAGTGCCGTCAACTCCGGCTGCTCTCGGATCCAAAGCTTTCAGAGCCTGAAATCATGACGGGTTTGGCTGCAGAAGAGACAAACACTGACAAACACTCTCATCTGCGTACGGTCTTTCTTTGAACGTGGGCACCATTTTTTAGCCACTTGGATGCAGGCTGTATAGAGAGAGACTCCCTCTAAGATCTTCTGGAGCTAACACCAAAGCAGCGCTGGGCAGGGCCTGGCGTCTGCATGTTCCCACGAACCTTCCTCTGGGCAGCAGGCAGCCTCGCCGAAGCACTGGCACCTCAGGGCATGAGCACTCAGATGAATAATTCAAGGCTGGCAAAGCAAGTCTTCTGCCTACTCCCTCCACTAGTCCAAGGCAGCTTGGTGGTAAACAGATCTAATCATAAATAAATTAAAAGACAAATTGTAAATATCTTTTTTTTTGGATTTGGTGCCAGGGCTTATCACAAACACTGCTGGGTATCAACGGCTGGCATGCAAGGCTAATGCTTGATCTCGTACCACCTCATTTGCCCAATAATCTTTGTTATCTTCCACAGCTCTAGAAGTTTGGGTTATTTATAAATAAATTAAACTCCTATTCTGCAGAGCAGAGAGCAAGAGAGTTGATGTTGCCTTCTTGGAAAACGTGTCGTGTCTCCTCACTCCAAGCCAAGACGCCATCAGCCCCGGACCCACCCCCCTTCTGCTGTTCCCTCGAAGCTCTTCTGAAAACTGCTTCCTGGAATCACTCTCCCTCCCCCGAGCTCTGCCACTCACAGATCCTGCCTCGGGGTCTGGGTCCCCAGGGACCACTCCTCACCTTCCAGAACCTCCTCAGCACGCCAAAGCGAGTCTCTCTCCCTCCAACCTGGAGGTGCGGGACGTGACGCTGGGCATTGCAGCCGCCCAAGCCACTGGCGGGCCCTGCTCTGAGGATGTGGCTTCCACTGCCTGAGAGTCTGGCCCAGCCTGACCTCTCCCGACATCTCTTCGTGTTCAGTTCCTCTCCCTTTCCGACCCCCATCCCCCTCTAGTATGCATCCCACCTACTCTTCCAGGACAGTGTCTCCACTCTCCACAAGTGAGTCTAACAATTTTCTAGAAAAATCCATCCTGAGATGCTGTTTCACATTCTACATCTGCATTCCCTTCAATCTTATTTCTTTAGAAAAGCATTAAAGAAAACCCCACACCTAAGACACTCACATGTGGTTGCACATAGAAGGAGGAATCAGAATGATAAGCCCCATTCTAAGTGTCAAATCTGGGCATAAAATCACCAAAACTAAGCCTGAAAAGTGACCTCATGGGCCTCACCTCATAAACTCCACTGTTGGCTCTTGAAGCTGCCTACGGTGGAACACTCACTCCAAGCCACTGTTCAGGAAAGGCAGACTGGGATTTTGAGATGGCATTTCGTAACAAACACTAATGACCGGCAGTTAGTTTGTCAGCTCTCCCGTACTCTGGCATTTTGATTGGCGATGAGTATCATTTCCCCTGGAGAGCCTGATCCATCCAGCACAGCTCAATAAACGTCCACCGAGCCTTCCGTGTCCTCCAGACCTGCCTACTACAGAGTGAGGCCAAGTTCAGAGGTATCCAGAGCCAGAGTGAGTCAAAGACAAAGGATATCTAACTGGCTCGAAACGCAGCTTATCCAGAACACCCACACGTGTGTTTGGAGAGGCAAGAACAAGGCCGAGACAGAGGCCTAGGAGATGGCAGACGCACCCGGGAGGACAGCCCAGCCCAGTGGGAGAAACAGCACGCGCAGCAGCTGGATGTCGAGAGCTCAGGGCAAAGCCAGGGAGGCGTCCTCCCCGGAGACCTGGGCACTTCCCGGAGGTGACAAGACCACAGTAGGGACAGCAAATGTCAAACGGTGCCTCAGGGAATTGCTGTGGTGACCTCGCTGCTTTTTACTGTCAATTTATCGAGGGTGTGGCTACATGCGCAGCCGTTTAAAATAACCTTTGTTTGCTAGAGGTGTTGGTGAGCAAATATGAACGCGGAAAAAAGCAGGAGGAATGTCATACTTCGAATCTTAGTTGATAAGCACATCTGCAGCTTTCCAAGCACTGTGACAAGTAGAGGAGGAAAGCTGCTCTCGGAGCACCACTGCGCCTCAAGGAGTGAAATTCAAACTCGTGCAAGGTGCCCGCCCTGTGCCAGGCAACAAACGCAGTTACGGGGTGTGGACAGCAACCCCCAGGGTGCTGCTGAGAGTGGGCAGGTGCAGCCCTCTGGGAGAACCGCCACTGCTCCGTCCCAGTGCCATACCAGGACCCCCCAGGACAAGGGAGAACAACATCTCTATCCCTGCCCCTCCAGAACCGAGGTCACACACATCAGCACGAAAGCAGCCGGAATGGAAATGGCTCCGTGTCCGTCTACAAGGACACGGCTACACACCACATGTGCCACAACAAGTGAACTGTGGAGACACACTCACTCAGGAACAGCCCGAGGGTGACACGAGAACTCTCAGAGGCACACACACAGATAACGTGTTGAGCAGCTGCATGACAATACCATTACGTACCCCTTTGGCAGGGGCGGGAGAGGGACACCTTTACTTGGTCCTGGTGAAGGCCACATGAGAGCAAGACACTGGCCACTTTCAGGGGGTTGATCGAAGGGCACACAAGCTCAACTCAGTAACATTCTGCTTAACATTCCCATCTTTCTTCATGTCCTCAAGACCCTCAGGAATCCAGTGACCCTCAGGAATCCAAGACCCTCAGGAATCCAGGACAGAACAAGACAGCACTGGGGAGTTCAGAAGACACCAGCCTCCACGTGGCTACTCCACTTCCTTCTCCAGGGGTAACACCCTCCAGCTGTTCAAGGAAAAGAACTTATTTCTGTGGCACCGTAGAGCCAGGGAGAAAGCCTGGCTGAGCTGAGGGAAGCCCTGTTCTTACAACCCAGCACCTGACAGTCTCCACAGCAAGTCATCTCAGAGTTCAGACTAAAGACTGGCAAACAGGAGAGAAGGAAGGTGGTTCTATTTCCAAGGAAAATCTATTCTTATCTGTCAGATAAGTATTTAACTTTTCTGAACATTTTAAACCTGCAAACGGAGCCGAGAAGCAGCCTCATTTGTTTGGGCTGGGCAAAGGGCACTCTTGGCGACCGTGTGAGCATCCAGCAGGCAGAAGGGGAAAGGGGGGTGACATAGCTGTAACATGACAGAGGTAACAAGAAAAATCAGTAGGGAACAAAATACTAACATACTGGAACCCTGGAGGTAAAATACAGTGAGAACTGGTGTGTGAGAAAGAAACACCACAGGAAACTCCAGGCCCTGTGTTCCTCGGGTGGTCCAAGGCAGTGCCCACACACAGGGGCCTCTACACTGGCTGACAGAGCATCACTTTTTCCGTTCAGAGCCTGGGACTCCGAGCCACCAGAGGTCAGAGGCGTGTGGGCATGCCTGGGTCCGTGCAACAGGGCTCACTGTCGAACATGGATGCCCAGGATATGCTCCCGGTTTCATTCTCACCTGAGTCTCTGCACAGCAGTCAGTGCAAGAGCCATCTCTGAGTGGCTTCTCCCAGCCTCCCTATCCTCCCACAGCTGGTACACGGAGTACCTGCTACCTGCAGGCCTCCGCCTGTCACCTGTGCGCCTCACCCTACGCACGTGAAGGCAACTCCTTCCAGCCTCCTGACAAAGCAGCACCTCTGAGCTGTGGCCGCCCACACAGACAGAAAGAACGGGGTCTGCAGGGCTAGTCATGCTCCCCACCAGACTCAGAATGACTGCGTCAGACCATACCTCTGCAGACCAAGGGTTCTGTGCGTGTGCCATTTCTGAAGAGGGACCCACTACCTCCCCAGCTTCGTGGCAGGCATGCGCCTCTTGCAATGTTGCTCCAGTGAGGAGGTTGCGCTCCGAGCATAATACTATCTGCTTAGATCGCAGGTTCTACAAACAAGCGACCTAAAGGTCCGGTTCTGTGGAGCAGACACTCCAGAAACACACTTCTGACACTCAGGCTGACGAGGGCTTATACGCTCGGTGCCCTGAATATTATTGCAGAACATGACCTCAAAATCCAGAGTCCGAACAACTTCAAGTCTTAACATAAAAATAAATATCTTGCTCTAATTTTCAGGTTGGGGGGTATGAGGGATGTTGAGGGGGACAGGACATCTAGCAGTACCCGAGACTCACTCCTGTCTGGGTACGCAGGGGTCACTCCTGGCAGTGCTTGGGGAACATACGTGGTGCAGGCGATGGGACTGGTGGTCTCCTGAATTTTCCCCAGCCCAGTTTGCTTTAATTTTAAGGCAGGTTTGAAAATGTTTCCTCATTTCTTTTGCTTAGACAAATACAGTGATGAAGAAATAATTTGGTTATTTCATTTAGATACTGAACAGTTAGCATATACAGAAACTAGCAGCTACATCTCAGGCCAAGAAGTAGCTTCTCGAATTCAAAGAGTTCAAGATGCAGCTTCTGCACAGCTCATCACTCAGAAAATTCAACCAACACCCTGTGCGCCTCGTGACCTCTGCCAAGATGCCCTCCCTGCAGGGCGAGGAGCTCCGGTCAGTGCGACCCCGGGCAGCGGGTACCCAGAATCACATACGGTGGTGGGCAGCTCCTGGGGGCCCTACCTGTGCCCCAGCCCGCACACACGCACCTCCAGCCGTTGTCGGGGAGAGAGCTGAAGGCGCCGTCCACCACGCTGGCGAAGAACTGCCCACCCGTGATGAACAGGGTGTTGACTGTGACGAAGCGACCACGCAAGTTGGGCGGGGAGACCTCGGCGATGTACACGGGCACCGTCATGGAGGCGATACCTGCAGGGAGAGAGCACAGCGTGTGGGCACGAGGGGCAGAGAGGGCACGCGGAATGCGGGGGAACCAGGTTTCCTCTTCGCTCTGCTCTGAGCACCCGGCACACTCCACCACGTGCGCCACAGGCCCACACCCACACACCCGAGTCCCAGCTCATCACAGAGTGTAACACCCCAGTGCTGACCCAGAGAACAGTGTCCAGGACAGCAGCAGGAGAGGCATCAAGGCGTCGGAGCAGGGCAGATGCCCCTGACAGGAGAGCGCAGATGAGGAGACAGAAAGGTTAAGAGCGTTCCTCGGAGTTAGAGGCTCCACTGGACAGGAGCTTAGGAAACCCCCAGGGAGAGTGGGTGACACAGCCTGGCAGAATCCAGGGAGAGCAACGCCTATGTCCAAGCAACCCCAAACTCCAAGACAGGAGGTACAGGCTTGTGTAGCGTGCAAGGGGACAGTTCAGGGATAACAAACATATGGGTCTAAAGTGGCACAGACTTTGAATCACCTAAACAGAGAGTACCAGGGCAAAGGTCCTGCTGAGCACTTGGGAAATCCGTGCAAAGGATGAAGCAGCCTGCAGAATGTGGCTGCAGAAACGATCCTGCATTAGACAGGGGCCCAAGGAGCAACAGGAGCTTCAGATATTAAAGCAGCCCAAATAACACCTGAGCAGCCTCCACATCTTTAAGCTGCTCTCGGATATAAGGTCTGGTGTCGCCTGCAAACAGCAGCAGCATCACGAGGGAAACCACGTCAGTCAAGAGACAGCAGAGACGAAAGAGGGAGATGGCCAGGGGCAAGGGCCCCAGAAATGCCGTGTATTTAGAAAGAGGGAATGCTGGTGATGGCAGAGTAAACTGCTGATGGAGGTAGAACCCAGCAGAAATGGAGCTGTTTGATGGTACGTGAACAAAGGAACTTCCAGGAAAGGAAAGCAAAAGGAACTGAACTGTGGGGGGGAAATCCCAGGCTGAAAAAACAGGGTGTGCAGAGGATGGTGGCAACAGACACACCTGGGTAAGTCCCTGATTTGCAGAAAGAGAAGGATTCCTCTAGGGACAAGGTAGCAGGGAAGGGCAGCTGCCCCGCCAAGTACCGACAGCCACGCAGTGGGCATCAGAGCAACGTACTGAAGGAGAACGTGGCGGTTAAGGGCTTTGCACCTGCCAACAGGTGCTCAGGTGTGAGTCTGGAGAGATTAGCACACGCTTTCTGTTTCTAAAACAAATCCTAAGGCAACCCAGCACAAACTAAGGTGGAGACGTTCAGGACCGGCCCAGGAGTCTCCTTCACTGTTCATGGCTTTGCCCAGAGACCACGCCCGCCAGCTCCCCACACAGTTCAGGGCTGTGGGGCAGAGCGTCCTGGCTTCTCTGACAACCACTTCAAAGCATCAACAAATCTTTCTCTGCAGCATCTGGTTTTGGTGGCTAACAGGAGAGCAGGTAAGAACGCTCTACTCTTGCTGAACTAAAACTCATTTCTCAGCATTCGAAGAGGCATATTCTCAGAGAGCTACAGAATGTCCTTCTTCATTCAGTAAGTGGTATTCTGTGTGTTCAAAACTGGGACAAGAGCAACCAGTGAACTTGTTAAAATGGTCAGATGGGGGGCAAGAGAGAGGACTCTAGGTACGTTTGTCTTGCACAGGTACAATCCCCAGTAGCTGTATTCATCCAGCCAAAATGAGCACTATGCAAAATCGTCACCTGAAAATGATTGTGCAACTCACTGTCAAGACAAGAAAGACTGTAGAGTAGAATTTAGTGAAACGGAAAACACAAGAGGATTCAAGTCAAAGATTAGTCCTTTTTAAACTATTAATGTTTTCAAAATTCTCTGGTTTGTTCAAGAAAAAGAAGCCATCAAAATGAAGGAGAAAATGTTTCTACAAAAACTGGACACAGGAAAAACAGGGCCATTATGAAGAACTGTACTCTTATAAATTTCAAAAATTAGATGAAAAGAATATTTGTCTAGTGGGGGAAATTTCCTCATTTGAGTTAGAAATCCTTGCCAGTCCCATAACGATTAAGAAAGTCACATACAGAAATGTTGGAATCTTGGGGCTGGAGAGATAGCACAGCGGGTAGGGTGTTTGCCTTGCACGCAGCCGACCCGGGTTCGATTCCCAGCATCTCATATGGTCCCCTGAGCACCACCAGGAGTAACTCCTGAGTGCAGAGCCAGGAGGAACCCCTGTGCATCGCCGGGTGTGACCCCCCCCCAAAAAAAAGAAATGTTAGAATCTTATGTCAGAATTCTCAGGAAAAGGGACCCAGGGTTTCTTCTCCCACCACCTCATCCTTTTCCATTCCAAATTCCAAAAAGCCTAATTTGACTGAATATCCCAAGTTCCACAGAAATGGAAGGAAGGACAGGCAGATGGGACTGAAAACCAGGCACTCTTGTCTACGCTAGGACACCTGCCCAGGACCCTTCATCCCTACCTTGCCACCGACACAGTCAAAACCTTATTCTTCAGGTAACAACCCAAGAGGGCCTCGCTGATGGCTCTGGTGCCCGCCACGATGCAATCGCTCCTTCCCACGCTGATGCCCTTCCCCGTGCTCTTTCTCTATAAAAACGCTTCCTGGGACACACAGAGCAGACTAGAGGGCCACTTTGAGTTTATGAGCCCACCGTCTTCCGTCTGTTTCCCAGACTATTTTTTTAAAAGTCAAGGTAAAATGTATAAGGAGTATTCTGCCCCCCCCCCCCCCGAATTAAAGGATATCCCAATACTGGAGTATAAACTATTTCCATGGATTAGAAAACTCAAAATTGCAAAAATGCTGTTTCCCAACTGCACTACGGGTTCAGTAAAATTCAAGTAAAAGTCCAACGCACTTGTCAGGAGGACGTACCTGCAGATACTATGCTGATTAGAAAGCTATTATAACTCAGAGTATAGACAAGACAGTCCCATAGACACCCAGAGATATCCACATATGATTCAAAGGATTTCTGACATTTGAACTACTTATCCTGTTCTGTCTACCTTCATGAGGACTTGGTAACAGAAGAGTAATTCATTCCAAAATCTCACCATTTTAAATAACAATTGCCAAAAAGATCAATGGGCAGTTAGCTCCATGCAAATACAGCTGCGATTTTCCTGCATCCAGTTTACAAATTACTTTATTAGCTATATTTCAATATTTCCCTTTGACAATTCTGTACTTGATCCCAAGGAATGGGACAGATATATGCATATTTACATATTTCAATGGCTAAACAGCTTCTAGAAAACTTTTCTAACTTGTTGATTGTTCTACCACTGGTGGTATTTCAGTTTTAAAGCTCAAAACAAAAATTCAGTTTTAGGATTTCTTTTTAGCTTTCTGGGGTCACACCTGGTGATGCTCAGGGGTTACTCCTGCCTCTCCACTCAGGAACTACTCCTGGTGGTGCTCAGAGGACTATATGGGATGCCGGGAATCGAACCCAGGTCAGCCACATGCAAGGCCAACGCCCTCCCCACTGTGCTATAGCTCTGTCCCCTAGGATTTCTTTATGGAAATTTCACAACTTGTCTCAACAGTGACTTAAAACCTACTGTTTTCTTTTTGACAGAAGAACAGGGAGATATTCCTGCCAACAACCCATGAAAGCTAATGACTCCCTCCAGCCACATGGCTGCAGGGGAGAGCTTTATTCTAGTGGTCCAAGTCAAATACGTGGCATGTCTGCAAAGAACTCCTGACTGCGATTACATAGTCACTGCCTGACAGATGGAATCCTGAGCCTGGGATCACACTGCAATAAGAGAGTCAGAGGAGAGAAGCCGATGAAGGTGTGGAAAGTCAGACTTAACTTGCCTTAGTTTTATTCAGCAGAATAATGACTATTGTTTCCCTTGTGATAAAGTTAAACATTGGTGCTTACACAACACACACAAAAATACAGCTTTATGTGTCTCTAGTGAACTTAGCATGAAACACCTTCAGTATCAATTACAAATACTGTAGGGTAACATTGCTTTGGTGGTGGCCACCACCATGCTGAGACCACTCTCCGCACACATGAAGGTACTGGCAGAGGGACAAAGCCACGCGGGTTCCGGGGCCGAGACCTCCAAGCCTACTCGGATTGGAGTCGAGCATCTTCCACCCAGATCCTCCAAATTCCAGTAGGCGGGGGTCACACCCACCACCTGGCCCCCTGGCGCTGTGTAATCCCATCAGCGGCCAAGACTCAGAGACTATAAAATTCAGGTCCCGAACGGCATCTTATCAGAACTTTTTTTAATGACATCTTATTGTCTCATTCCTACTTTGGACAAACTTTCAGGCTATCGAATGTAGCCTGCCCACAGGGCAGAGTCTGGCAAACTCCCCGTGGCGTACCAAATATGCCAAATACCAGTAACAATGATGGGTCTCATTCTCCTAAAGAGCCTTGAATATAATCTCCGGGCTAGGATGAAAGAGACGTTACTGGGGCCTGCTCGAGGCAATCGACGAATAACAGGATGATGAAATGAAATGAAATGAAAAAACATTGCTTTGTCCTTCCACAAGAAGCTTAGGTTTATCTGGTTACACCCATCAATCTGGTTACACCCATCACAGTGCTCCTGAAGCACTTCCACTTCCATTGTGTTTATCTGTAAACAGTCTTCCCTATGCTCTCCTTCCCACCCAGTTAATCAGCTTTCCCCTTAATCAGACTGTTAATTTGTAGGATCAGTTTCCCAGAAATCTACGATTTTATATGTATAAGTGAAATATTGCCTTTCTCCTCTCCTTATGCCTTATGAACAGTTTACTTTAAAGCAATATCCTTTTGTATAGATACAGGAAGACCGTTAACATCATGCTTTGTAACTTAGGATTTGATTGGCCTTGAATATTATTCACTCCCGGGCATCTTTCTCGACTTAAGCCTCAGTTGCCCTTAGTTCCTAACACCCCAAAAGCAGGGTCCCGACAAGGGACTGAATGGACCCAGGGCAAGCAGTGAGCTACCCTGGCAGCGAAATGGGCCAGGCCAAAGTGCCACG